ATAGAGCACTTCTTTGAGGAAATGGACTATATAAATGCAAGTTATTATTATTATTATTATTATTATTATTTGTTAATTTTTGTGGGTGTTTATGTGCTGTTCTAATTTTGATTCCATTCTGTTGTGAAACCTTTTATTTTTCACGTTTTTACACTCAGTGTGGCTACACATGATATTCTGGTTGCTTAAAACAGAGCACAAGAAATTCAGGTGCTTTAGATTAAGTTATCTCTATCAACATATTGCTATATACTTCATCACAGGGAATTGAAAGCTTGAAAATAAATGGCAATTTTTATCATATTTTATGGCAAATTTTACCATTTTTTGGTGGCAACTTTTCAACAAAAAAATGTCAATAAACGCAGTTACTAGACTATTGCTTACGCTGTTTTTCTGTTTTCTAGTTATTAGAATGGGTAAAAGCCAAGTCCACAATACAGGAGGGTTTTGCTTCATGTACTTAAAAATCCCACAATATTGAGACATTTTCGGTTTTGCTTTAAAGTCATAAGGATGACTAAGGGAAGCAATGTTGGAAGTTCAGTATAACACGGATAGGTCGAACACAGAAAACTCGAAATCACGCATCCTTCGAGTTGTGCCTGCGGTCTCAGTTTTACCTCTTCTTTGTCTTTGAAAGAGAATTACGCGAAGCTCTAACACAACCTCGGAATAGTTGAACTAATTACGCTGCCGTAAAAGTCTAAAATCAATGTCCTTTGATGTGCACTTGATGCAAAATAATAATAATAATTTTTTTTTTTCAAAAGGGAAAAAGGCAAGGTCGGTAAAATACCACTCCCCCCCCCCCCCTCCACAGAAGCAGCTAGCTGTGCTATTTTTAGCACTGTGCTCGATACTTACCCATGCCCTAGGTCTAGATAGGCTTATGTGGAGCAGGCAAGAGGAAGGGTTTTGTGCATCACTGAATCACACGATTAGCCGCCCCACCCCCTCTTCACAAAGGACCGTGTGTGTGGTGGGAGAGGGTTCATTACTGTTGCGATATGCTTATCCTATCAAATTGTTTCATGTCGTTGAAAAATTTGAAAAGGCACCGTTCGATTGGTGCAGCTGTCCGTGTTATACTGTAGGTAGGGGGGGAAGAGAGAGGGTGGGGGAGGGAG